TTTTTTTTGGCTGTTTTAAGATGGAATCTCAGCTGGGTGTGGTGGCTCACACCTGTAATCTCAACATTTTGGGAGGCCAAGGCAGGAGGGTCACTTGAGGCCAGGGGTTCAAGACCAGCCTGGGCAACATAGTTAGACCCCACCTCTAAAAAAAAAAAAAGAACAGAAATACAAAAATTAGCCAGGCGTGGTGGTACACATCTGTAATGCCAGCTACTTAAGAGGCTGCAGCAGGAGGATCACAGGAGCTCAGGAGGTCGAGGCCACAGCGAGCCTGATCAAACCATTGCACTCCAGCCTGGACAACCGAGGGAGACCCTGTCTCAAATTAATAGAGAGAGAGAGAAGAAGGGAGAGAGGGAAGGAGGGAAGAAGGAAGGAAAGAAGGAAAGAAAAAGAAAGAAAAGAAAGGAAAGGAAAGAGAGAAAGAGGCTCACGCCTGTAATCCCAGCACTTTGGGAGGCCGAGGCGGGCAGATCACGAGGTCAAGAGATGGAGACCATCCTGGCTAACACAGTGAAACCCCATCTCTACTAAAAATACAAAAAATTAGCTGGGCATGGTGGCAGGTGCCTGTAGTCCCAGCTACTCAGGAGGCTGAGGCAGGAGAATGGCGTGAACTCAGAAGGTGGAGGTTGCAGTGAGCTGAGATTGCACCACTGCACTCCAGCCTAGGTGACAGAGCGAGACTCTGTCTCAAAAAAGAAAAAAAAAAAAAGGAAAAGAGAGAGAAAGAAAAGAAAGATAGATGGGGTCTCACTATGTTGCCCAGGCTGGACTCAAACTCCTGGGCTCAAACGATTCCCACACCTTCAGCCTCCAAAGTAGCTGGGATTACAGGCATGCACCGCTGTATCTAGCTCCCTTTTTGCTTTTTAATCTAGATGCTCTTGCTGGGTGATCTTATCCATTTAATAACAGAACACCTAATATTTGTCAGGCATTTTCTATTTGTTAGGCATTACATTGCACTTTATATGACTATCTCATTAAATCCTTAAAACAGCCGTATAAGGTAGGGCACCAGAGCTCACTTCTGTAATCTCAGCACTTTGGGAGGCTGAGGCAGAGGCAGGAGGATTACTTGAGCCCAGGCATTCAAGACAAGCGTAGGCAACATAGACTCCCATCTCTCCAAAAAATTAAACTTGAAGACATTGGCCTGACATGGTTATTATTGCCTCATTTTACAGATGAGGAAACTGAGACTCAGAGAAGTCAAGATCAGGTAACTCATTGGCAGAACTGGCCTTGAAACCCAGGCAGCCTAACTCCAGAGCCTGTGTTCTTAACTACATTTTACACGCCATTTTTAATTTTCCTCCTTTCTTTCCTAAAACCTGCTCTGCCTCCTACATTTTCAGTCTTGTTTGTCCAATATCCCCAGCTAGAACTGTCAGAAATGATTCTCCAGTTCCCCCTCAGTTAACACCTCCTCCTTTTAGTCCTGCCTTTGAAGATGCTCAGACCTGTGTGTTCCTCTCCACGTCGCCGACCCTCCCTTGCATCAGCCCCGCCTAACCCCAACCTGGGCTGGGCGCAGGAGCTGCCCTTGGTGGGCTCTTCCTTCTGCTCAATCTAAGAAAGTGAAGATGCTCATGTCACTGTACCATTTAAAAGTTCATGGACTTCCTTTTTTGTGGTTTTGGTTTTGGTCTGGTTTTTAAGCAGATCACATTGGAACTCCCTCACTCCACATGCTCAGTCCGGCCCTCGCCTGTGTTTTCAGCTCCGTTTCCTGTCATTCTCCACCCACTCCTTGTGCCTTACATTCCTGCCATCCTGAGGCTTCCCTTTTCGCAAGATCTGGGCCAGGCCTGTCCTAGCTCCACGCGTCAGCCTTTGTTCTTGTGCTCTAAGCCTCCTCTGTCTTTGATCTCCCAGACAGACTCTAGTCAGCTCTCAAGATCCAGCCCCCATGCCTCTTTCGTAGCGTTTCCTCAGATTCCTCCGGGGTGAGGCAGTCACTCTTCGGGCTGCCACAGCACATGCTCAGGCCTCAGCTGTGGCCTCACTCTGCTGGGTGGTCGTTTATCTGTTTACGTGCTTGTCTCCATTAACCTAAATGGGTCTTTAGGACAAGGACCAAATCCCTTCAGCTTTCAGCACCGAGCACAGAGTAGCGCTCAATAAATGTTGGTTAAAACGCTTGAAGGAATGGGAAAGAGGTTGTTAAAAACAACAGGAAGTTAGAAATATACTTACTTCTAAGCAAAGGGATTATCTTGTGTTTCTCAGAGTAATCTCTTCAGCTAAATCAGCAGGCCTCAGGTTGGGCAGGCTAATGTACCGAATGAAAGTGACACACGGCAAATGGAGAAGTCCTTTAAATTATAAGTTCCCTTAGGGCAAAGGTCACTCCACAAGGTTGAGATCCTATCTGAGATCACCATGCCCCTCTCTCCCACTCTCACGCAGGTTCGTGAGCCTGTGGCTTCGTGGAGAGAACATTCTGTTTAGAGTGAGAGGCCAGGGCTGAAGCCACAGCTCTGCAAAAATAATCATCAGCTTTGGGCCTAAAACCAGTGATTTTTTGGGCCTCACTTTCATGAAGACACATTTGATACTTACTTTTACACTTTTCTGATGGTTAATTTTGAGGCAGAGAGACTTCACATAGAAAGTGCCTTTTTTGTCATGTATTGATGAAAAATAATTCTTAGCTCAGTGCACATGAGATTGTTGTATCTGAAATCCGTCTCTCCTTTCCCTTTCAGCTTCAGGATGAGTTAGAGAAAGGTGAACGGGACAATGCAGAACTGCAGGAGTTTGCCAACGCCATTCTTCAGCAGATAGCAGACCACTGTCCCGACATCCTAGAGCAAGTGGTCAACGCCCTGGAAGAGTCTTCTTGACCCTGCTTTGTGGGGAAGCCTGAGGTAGTCAACCCAGGAGCCAAGAAAGGAGAACTACAAGGAACAGGCGCCCGGAACCTTCTTGGCACCCAACACTACAAACTTCCTCCCATCTTGCTCACCTGAAGAAGCGTGATTCCAGCACCGTTTCTACATCTGCCGTCTTTCTCTGCCTTCCTGCTTTGGATGTGGTCTCTACACTAACCTTCTTGATGTCCAGGGTAGATAAAAGGTCGAATCTCTCTGAAGAACTGCGACCTGGTCATCAACAGTGACTGTGGAAGCTGGTGGCTCGGCCCTGACAGAGGGCCATGGAGCAGAGGAGCCTCTCATCTCCTGTCCTCTGACATGAGAATGAAACCAGGAATGTACTTGGAGTTCAGCGGGCTGAGAGGATGCCTCCAGTGGACCAGAGAGCTGAGTGTTCTAATGTCACAATAGGTGCTTTCTCCTAAAAGGGTAAAAAACAATCTCAAAAAGATGAGAAAAAGAAAAGGGGGAAGGGAAGAGAAAATCGACTCTTCTTTTCACTGTCTCTTCTGCTTACTTTCCACATGAGATGCTTTATACCGGGGAGCTGTGAGCAGGCCTCACGATGGCTTGGGAGCACTCGTCCCCCAGGGTGTGAGTCTTCACCCAGCCCTGACTGTCTGTCCCAGCCTTCCTTACTCTGGTCCTCGGCCAGTTTACAAGAAGATGGTGTGAGGTGTTCCCCACCAGCCTCTCCTGTTTGAGACTGTTGACCATATCATACAATTAGATCAAATGTCTCTAACTCAAGGAGAACATATGAGGGTGAAAAAGCACCATCCAGGGCAGCATAGCGAGACCCTGTCTCTACAAAAAATTAAAAAGAGAATATACAAAATTGACATACGAGGCCCTTTGCCCCCACCTGCAGCTTTGCCCCAGTAGCAGATGCCCGTGCCTCGGGGTTGGGCTGCTTTCCCCTGAACACCTCCAGGAGGCTGCCTGCCTTCCCAGCACTCGTGTCCCGAGCTCCTGCAGCCCAGTGGCTGCTGCGGTTTTGATCCCTCACTCACCCTGCTAGCTTTGCCCTAGACTCATCCTCTCAGAACCTCAGCCTCATGCATTGCCTGGAACCTTCTTCTGGCATAAATGAAGGTTTCTTGTCCTATACACATTCCTTCCTCGATTATTTCATTCAGAGAATATTTATGAAATGCCTGCTGTGTGCAAGTCATCCATCCTTGAAAAGGCCACTTCTCAGTAAGGGAGAGGTGCAGTGGATTCTGTGAGACATACCAGCTGAAGTCGAAGCAGTAAATAGCATGTCCTTCCCCTCCCCGATCTTAAGGTATGTTTTCTAGAAAAGTTCCCTAATGGAATTCGTGAGTTTGGGGGGCTGAGTCACCCACTTGCCTATGGGATTCCATTTGATGATTCTGGATTTTTGCTGTTTGTTGTTGCCCTTAGAGGGCTCTGAGTATCTACTTGTGGGTGGCCATTTGCTGACATCTGCATGTACCTTGTGGAATTCAGCCAGCCTCATGTTGCAAACCAGAGAGCTGACCCCAAGACTGCAAATCCAGTTGGCGGCATTGGCATTGTTAAGGACATTTTCCCAAGCATAGACAACAGAGTCGTAAATAATTGGGCATGAAGAAGTAAACCACTTAACCCAAATCTAGTTCTTTGGCCATCTCTACCACCAGAGCCCAGCAGACACTCACATCTCCTGATAAGAGTTGCTGGACTCACTGTTTTTGTTTTGCGTTTTCTCCTCTCCTTCCCTACTTACTCCGAGAATTTAAAGTCTGTAGAGTCAGCACAGCCCCATCAGTCCAGGAACTTCCCGCCACCAGCCCCTGACTGTCCCGTTAACTGATACGGTCAGATCTCCAGCTCCCCTTATTCTCTGCTGTAAAACAGTCCCTCTCCCCGTGAGAGGAAACTGTGGAGTGTTTCTTATCGAAGGTCTAAATGGACTCTGCTCATAAACCTCTTACTGAGATGCTTCCTGATCGCCAGGCTGGCCAGAGAGGCTGCAGGGCTTAGATAGTAAGTGGTGGTCCTTTGTGGTCAGTTCCTCAGTTCTGTTTATTGCAGTGCCCATAAACCATGTAGCAAGCTCCCAGTACTGAGAGCCAGGAGTATTAGAATCTCACTTTATCCACCATAATGTAAAGACCTGGGGTATGATCACAGCCTTCACAGGGCCACAGTGGAACCAAGAAAGCAGGCGAGGCCATGCCTACACAAGTGGCCTGGCACTGGCACTGGCCAGCTGCTTTCTCACTGGTCTATCCAGGAAGGCATCAAGCAGGTGCCCCAGATCCACCCACGTGGCCTTTCTCATCAGGTGCAGCACCTGCCACTCTCAGCCACTGGGTGTGTGACGCTCCTCTTCATCTCAATGTTCTCCATCACTTCCCCTCCAGAACAACTGATGGAAGGAGGCCCTCTGTGACAGTGCTTCTGAGAAGAAAAATTTCTGGGACAGATATCATCTGTCTGGTCTCTATGAACAGCAAGGAATCTTGACCCTTCTTGGGCACTGTTCTGGCATCTCAGATGATGTGGAGACTGGCTAAGAGTTCAGTAATAAACATGGCCTGCCTTTGTGCTGTAGGGCAGAGTGGATGCAGCTTGTAGCATTCAGAGTATCTCATTGAGTCCAAATCGTTGAACCAACACTTAACCAAATGTCCCACTCCCATCACACTAGGACTTGTCATTCCATGCCCCTCTCCTAGTAGTCATGGTTTCATATGGCCGTGCAACTGCTACTGAAGTTATATAGCCTTGAAAACTCAATGCAGGTTGCCCTTAATTTTCCCCAAGCCCCTCCATCGGCAAATCTAGTTGCCCTTTAGCACCTAAAGATCTGCACCTCACATCAGTGTCACCATAAAGAGGGCAAGAGGAAGAGCGGGTGTGATCCCAACGGGGTTTTGTAACTGAAGAAGTACAGTATGAGTGTCTCATGTCTTCATATACCTCTAACCCCCGGTACTCATTGAATCATTGATGAGGTATCTCAGTTGAGATTTGCAAGGACTTTGATGCCATTTGAAATGGAAAAGATTTTGAACAGGCTTTAACATATTTAAGAAATATGGATGGGGCTGGCCACGGTGGCTCATACCTGTAATCCCAGCACTTTGGGAGGCTGAGGCAGGTGGATCACCTGAGATCAGGAGTTCGAGACCAGCCTGGCCAGGATGGCAAAAACCCCGACTCTACTAAAAATACAAAATTAGCCAGGCGTGGTGGCACATGCCTGTAATCTCAGCTACTCGGGAGGCAGGAGAATCGCTTGAGCCTGGGAGGCAGAGGCTGCGGTGAGCCGAGATCACATCACTGCACTCCAGTCTGGGTGACAGAGACTCCGTTTAAAAAATATATATATATATATATGGATGGGAATCGCCAAATTCATCTCAGCTCTAACCTTTTAACCTTTGTCCTTGCACTTTATAATCTAAAGAAGATCTACCTGTGGCTCTCGGACCTCCTCATACTTGGGTTTTAGAAATAACTTGTAAAGCAGACTGGACCCAAGGCCGCCTTCAGTGTTGAGAGGGGCATGTGACTTGCCACTTTCTGTCAATTGAAGTCTGGTTGTCCATGAGGAACTTGCGGATTCACCCACCCCCAGAGTGAGAAGAGGAAGGCGACGTCATCACAGACACGGTCTTAGCCACTTGCTGAACTAATCCCTCCCCTATGAGGGTCAGGGTTGTGAGGAAACCGTCATGTATCACCCAAAATATAAATGTTTCTGAGCTGCCCATCCACTGGCATTTGGATTTGCCACCAGAGTCCTGTTCCTCCTAGGACCGTACCGCCCTCCTGTTGACCGTGTTACTTGAGTGTCGGCCTGGTGGCTACCCTCAGAGTCTTTGAGGAAAGAGCCAAGCAAGGAAGACCTCGCTGCGTGGAGTGTGACACCACGTGGCATTTCTCAAGCCCAGCGGACCCCGTGTCAGCAAATACCAGTAATTAAACATCTGTACCCAGCCTCATCTTCACCTGCCTGGGTTCGGAACTGAGGAGGAAGGATGAGAAGAGACCGCAGTGCCGCAGACGCCCTCCGCAGAGCAAGGCCGCCCATCCATCACTGCCAGCCCTGGGCTTCTCAGGAGGGGACGTGAACCACTCAAAGGAATGTCTTAAAGAGAATCTGGAGTTTCCCCCATGCGAATTAGGGAATAATTAGGCAAGAAAAGACATACATTACAGGGAAATCCTTCTGAACAAAATGGCTGTCTTTACCTACTCTTTTTAAGCAAAAACTGTCTCCAGACTTTTTAGTGTCAAAACTGTAACCACCTGTCTCCTGATTTTTCCCAATGTGTTTGGCAAGTGCTGTGACCCTGTTGTAGGCACTTCTCCTGACTCGGGGGGGGAAGTGGTTTTAGGGATTGATTCGGGGGAGCGGGTTTTTGTCCCATCCCACCTCCCCTCCTCTTTCTCTGCTTGTCGATATCGTCTGTGTGATTCAGAGAATTGGGGCAGTTACATTGTGTCTGTTGAGATTATTAAAAGATTAAAACGTAGTTGTAGAATGAAAAAGAGCTGTGTTTTAAACATGCAAACCAATATCTTGTTAATAAAGGAATTCAAGCTACAGGGCAGCCACGCTCCCCCCTCCCAAGCTGGCATAGGTGGCCCCGGGCTGGCAGCTTAGGAAGCGTGGAGCACACTTAGGGTAGTGCCCGCCTGGGTGAGAGACACCTGCCGAGCAAAAGGAACGAGAATCTAGGGCTCAGAGCTGCGCAGTTGTGCCAGGATTTTCCTATACACGCTCAGGACCTCTGGGTAAAGGTTTCACAGTTTGTGACCCCATAACCACCCTCACCCCACGTGGGTCCTAGCTCAGTGTGCCTAATACTGCATGGTGACCTGGGCTTGACCCTGCAGCCCTGCCCGGCAGGCCACAGGACCTCTCCTGCCCAATGGTGCTATCTCATCCAGTGACCGCCCAGCACGGGTGAGCACTGGCCAGCCTGGAGCTTGCAGTCCAGGTGGAACAGACCGTATTCCATGTCAGTTCCTTCTGGCTTCGGGCCCCCAATTCTTTCCCTTTGAGCTTTTTTAGACCCCAGATCTCCTAGGCCCAGGCTGTCTCTCTTGGCCCCAGAGAAGCCACTGTCAAGAAAGGAAGTGAACCCTACTGAAGCCAGAGAATCCACCCCGGCCAAAGCAAGCCCTCTGGGTCCAGCCCCTCTTTCCACACCATGCCAGTATTGCATCCGTCTACTGCAGCTACACATCCTGAGGGCAGCACCACCCACTCTGGCCTGCTGGCCCATGGCAGGACTAGCCCGGGCACCTTCCGGGCACTGCAGGATGTCCAGTGGGGCCTGTGACTTGCTCCCTGTGGCATCGGAAGGAAGTGTTGCACTTTACTGGAGGAGCACCTGCCCCCTTGTAGCTTGAGTTCCTTTTGGTAACAGTAGCAGCCTCCATGGTGGTGTCTGTGATGCAAACGCACCCGCTGCCTTCAACTGTATGTGTGTGTTCCTGCTGGAGTTGTGTTACTGACAGGATAATGACATTACAAAGAAATTGTGTTATATTCAACTTTGCCTTGATAATTATTGTAAACACTTTGTTCATTTTTTCTTTTTTATTCACAAACTAAATCCACCAGGAAATTATAAAGTTATTTAAAAACTGTGTGCTGTGTCCTCCTTTGAGTCTCACCCAGTTGCTCGCCTAAGCAAGATGTGTCCTCACATGCTAGAAAAGATGGACAAGGCCCGCAGTCCCCAAGAGGCCAACTCCAGTGGCAGGCAGCCCGAGGGCCAGGGTCCCAGGATTGACCGTGGGTGTGGGCGTCTCCACACAGCCCTGACGGGCATGGTGCCCGC